TGAAGCTCAATACAAAATGATCTTGTCGAACTTCGACACCACTCATAACTAAAAACTAGTAACTGCACAATCGAAACAGCTTTCTAGAGGATACAGCAGCGAGACCATCCCTCATGCGCCGGGGTTTCGAACGCTTCAAGTGTTGCCTACTGGTCTCCGCAGAACACCATAAATAAACCAGAATTTACCAAAGTGGCGCTATAGTTCCAAATACGGACACAAATTTGATCAGATCTTTCTCGAAAAACAAACCTATGTAATTGGTCCTTTTTATGTCCGGATCATACATAGGCACGCTCGGTACAGCAATGTCACCCGTTTCGACTTCTTCAATGCTACCATTGTCGACCAGTTGCACTTGGTACGTCATGGCGGACAACTGAAGAAGGATTTGTCAGATTCCGCACCATCATGTGATTGACCCCTTTCTCAGAAATGTTCCTTCACAAAATCTATCTGTATCTGTACTTATACTTGTAGTGCGGTATGAGGAAGGGGGGGGTGGCAGGGATCACTGTACGCCTGAAATGGATGAAATCAACAAGCGAGGGAAGGTAGGATGGGCTAGCAATCAAAATAAAAAAAAAAAAAGGAGTGTGAAGTTCGGGATGAAAATGTCCTGTCTAGGGGTAGCTTCCGCATGGTTGTAATGCGTATGACAGCGTCTGTACGTTATCCGAAGCCCTGATCTAAACGCAGCACATGCCATGTAAGTTGCGATGCCGCGCTCGCCGCAACATGGTTTTCCCGAGCACTTCTTCTTTTACCATTACTAGCATGATTTCTGTAATAAGCAAGAAACGCCCCGTATATCGCGGCTGTTTCAAGTGAATAAGTGTTAGCTGAGTAATTAAAAAATAAACCTAATAATCAAAAATCTTGAAGAAAACTTCCATACCCTGCATATAATCTGTCCCACTACCATCACTGGCACCTCGTCCGTTTTAGCCAAACAATAGTCTCCTTCAGACAGCACTAATCTATAACAGCAGGAATGAAACAAGATGTCAGTAAACAGCCGTTTGTAAAATTAACAGATTAGTCAAAAAAACATACACTCCTTATCCCTGAGCCAGAGTAGGCGTGGCATTTGAACATGGCACGGAATTGGTTACTCGTGGAATATTCCAGTCTGGGACAACTGTCATCTTGTTCTGTGTTGGACAGAGACACGACAACAGTTGTGTCAAGATGGAAATATTCCACCAGAAGCATAGACACCTTCAGGTTAAGTTGAAGAATGCAGCCACGCCTACCCGATCTCAGGGATTTCGAGTATATGGACATTCGAAATAAATGCAGTGAAGAAGAGTAAGCGAAACAGACCTGCCCGCAAGCCCTTCAGCAGGTGGAGCTGGCCATTCACTCGGTTTCCTTACTGCTTTTATACGAGCACGTACTTCACTTATTTCGCGATCTATCTAAAACAATATAACTCTTTTCGAAAACAAGCCTCACGCAATTCACATTGGACGCTAATTGGAAGGGGGGAGGAGTGGACATTCAGCCGCGCCTCTATTTCCCTTCCACACCGAAGCCTAGGCTCTGGGCACAGACGACTAGAGTTGAGTTTGAAGATTGAGCTTTTAAAGCTACTTACAGACATATTAAGGGATAAGCAGAAAGGTCCCAGCTATTGCGCGTTCCCAACTGTTGCGCTCACCTTCTAGGAGAAGGAGAGCGCATCGATGAGAAAGGCGTAGCAGTCATGAGTTTCTGCTTATCCCTTCGTATGTCTGTAAGTAGCCCTAAAAGCTCAATCTTCAAACTCAACTCTAGTCCTCTGTGCCCAGAGCCTAGGCTTCGGTGTGGAAGGGAAATAGAGGCGCGGCTGAATGTCCACTCCTCCCCCCTTCCAATTAGCGTCCAATGTGAATTGCGTGAGGCTTGTTTTCGAAAAGAGTT